ATATACATCTATTCAACTAAATATATAGCAACTATGTACAACTATTCAACCATATATATATCACTACAGGAACTATTCAATCACATACACAGCTATATACAACTATTCCACTAATAATAGAGCAATTATATACAACTATTTGACTCTATGTACAACTAATAGAGGCCTGGTGCACAAAATTCATGCACTAGTAAGGTCCCTAGGCCAGACAAGTGATCAGGGCTGATCAGTGCCTTCCAGCTACTGGCCAGGGCCTTCCTTCCCCCGCTGCCGGGTGCTGGCCTTCCTTTATTACGCACAACCCCCTGGTGGTTAGTGCACATCATAGAGAGCAATCCATCTCCCAGTCTCCAGTCAAACTCCCAAGAGGACACTTTGCATATTAGCCTTTACTATATAAGAGATATACAACTATATACAACTATATACAACTATTCAACTATATATATATACAGCCCTTCAACCTAATATACAGCAGCTATCCTGTTTCCCCGAAAATAAGACAGTGTCTTATATTAATTTTTTCTCCCAAAGTTGTGCTAGGTCTTATTTTCAGGGGATGTCTTATCTTTCCATGCGCTAGGTCTTATTTTTAGAGGATGTCTTATTTTCGGGGAAACACGGTATATACAACTATTCAACAACATGTAAAACTATATTTAACTATTCCCCTCCCCAAAGCAAGAGAAATAAATCATCTGTTCCACACATCTCCCCTTTTTTAGACAAAACAATTGAGACTTAAATTTCCACAGCTACTTAGAGTAGCAAGGACCGTACGTCCATTTTTTTCCCAGTCCAACAATCATTCTGTAGCACAATGGAAGATGACAAGATATCCCAAACACAAACTGTCAGGAGGATATGTTCTTTGTTTTGCTTTTTTACTTTCTGTGATAGATTTGAGCTCATCAATTCTTACTTTCTTCTGGATACTAATAAACCAAGGGCATATGCACAAATATGAAGAAGAACAAGAAAATAAACAAAACTGAAGTCATATTTTAGGGAACTGGAATACATACTTCTAAGCCCAGTAACATGCACATCTAAGTAGAACTTCTAACTCAAAACTGCACTAGCTCTCCCACACTTGTGCAAGGCCTGCTAGCAATGTCAGGATGCTCTGCCTCAGATCTGTGAGGGTGGTGCTCTTCCATGGGTGACTGGGTTTGTTCTTTGGAGGTCTAGAGTAGGCTAGGGAGTCTAAAATAGTCCTCAAATCACAAGGAAAAATCCACTTTAGGACTTCTAAAGGTTGTTAAGTGGAGCATACTCTTATGAAAATGGACATAAATGTAGACGACCAATGAGTGGAGTTAGACATTAAAAACATAGATGATTTGGAATTAGAGAAAGAAAACCACAGATTAGGCAAAAATGCTAAGCAAAGGGATAAAAATGGTTAAAGTCTTTTAAACACTGTGAAATTTGAATTAGAAGACTAATTCAACCTTTTATCTAATATTCTGACTTTTTATCTAATATTCTGACTTTTTCTTTACTTGTAAAAATTATTTGAATTTATTGGGGTGACATTAGCTAATAAAATTATATAGGTTTCAGGTATGCAAGTTATAATACCTGATCTACATATTGTATTGTATGTTTTAATATTCTGATTTTTAAAGCAGAAAAATTATGTAGAAAAGTAATCTCATTCAAGATGTAAGATTGAACATATGTGTTTCTCTCTCATCTATGTAGAGACTCTGTTAGGATGAAAATACATGAGTAAATCAAATGCATACCCACAACAAAGAGAATCTGAGAAGGCTAAGAAAGAATCAGCTTTGTAATCCATCTTTTAAAAATGGAAAATGACTGAATGAGTGTAGACAAAGATGATCAGCAAAGAAAGCTGCAGACCAGAACATCTCCAGAGTGGGCTGTAGCTGCAGAGAAAGCCAGTTTGCCCAAATGGAAATGGTGTGTGAAGATAAATGGTGGGAGATAAAAACAGGAAGAAATGAGAGCTGAGGCAGGAAACTGAAAACTCTGCCCAGGGAATGGGCCTCATGTACTCCTCTGCTGCACAACAAGAGCTTTTGTATAATATTAGAATCACCCTCCACACCCAACTTGAGTTTTTGTTTTAAAAGTAACTAATGACCTAACTCAGCATCATGGGCAGGTATATCTTTTCTCATCAATCTACCCACTTAGGACAACAATCCCTGTCTATCTGCCTTGGGCTCCCAGTCAGCCTGTCTACGGTTTCATTCTTAAAAGATTATTATCAGATATTTGGGGAAAGTGAGATTAAAAAACAAAAAAATAAGGCCAAGAAAAACAATGTAAAACATGATCCTAATAAAAACAGAGAATTCAGGGAGTAGAAGAAAAGAGAATTTTAAAAATAAACAATAATCCTCTAATTAATATTTCTAATAAGATTTAATAAAACATTGCATGCATAAAAATGGGACAGAATACTTTTTTAAAAAAAGAAAGAATATTTGGAAACTTACAAATAAAATAGTAAATCAACAAGTGAATCTAAAAATCAAGTGAATAAAAAATCTGATGAACAGAATAAACTGGTGAATATAATAGAATCAGGGGCATAGAAAGAGAGTGGGCTGACAATTCAGGGGAAAGGGGTATGGGGTGTGGGAAGAGATTGGACAAAAATCGTATACCTATGGATGAGGACAGTGCAGGGGCGGGGAGTAAGGAGGGTGGGGTGGGAACCAGGTGGAGGGGAGCTACGGGGGGGGGGGGGGGAGGGGGAAGAACAATTATAATAATCTGAACAATAAAGGTTTATTTTTTTTTAAAAAGTAAATTAAAATCAATTGAAACCCTGGAAAAATAGGTTATGGCAAGGTCTCAAATGTAAGATAAAAACAAAGAACATAGAAAATATAATGAAAAATAGAGTGAAATATAATGAGAGAAAGAATCTAAAATCCAGTGAATACAGACTCTATAAAGAAAATCAAAGAAACAAGAGGAAATTGTCAAAGAAATATGTTAATTTCTTAAAATTGAGTGGAGACAGAATTGAAAATATTTTCAAATGATGACCAAGTTAAATGAAAAAAGACCCTCCCTATAAAGTACAGAATAGGGAATATAGTCTATAATATAATAATAAAGTGTAATATGCTAATTAAACTAGATGTCCTTCTGGATGTCCTTCCAGACGAATCCAGGGCTGTGAAGAAAGCCCAGGCCCTGGGTGCCAGAGGGAAGCTGGTGCCAGCATCTGGGGAAAGGAAGGCCTGCTCTTGCATGAATTTCGTGCATCGGGCCTCTAGTGTTATAACTATGTATGGTTCCAGTTGGGTACGGAAATATAGGGGTGATCATTTTGTGAAGTATTATATATGATTGTTTGATCACTATACTGAACACCTGAAAGTAATATAGAATGATACTGAATGTAAACTGTAAATTAAAAAGTAAAATTGAAGAAAAGAACTTCCCTAGACCCATCACTAACATATTTTTCTTTTCTGTCCATTCATCATTTGAGGGGCATTTGAGTTGTTTCCACATTTTGGCTATTATAAATAATAAATAATGCTGCTATGAATATTCATGTACAAGTTTTTGTGTGAATATATGATTTGATTTTCAATGGTTATATATGTAGGAGTGGAATTGTTGGGTCATATGGTAATATAATACAATGTTTAACTATTGAACTGTCAGATCATTTTCCAAAAGGGTAGCACCATTTTACATTCCCAAAGGCAGTGTATAAAATTTCCAATTTCTTTATATTCTCACCAATACTATTATCTGTGTATTATATTCTAGCCACCTTAGCTAATGTAAAGTGGTATCTTATGTTTTGGATTTATTTTATCTAATGCCCAAAGATATTGAGCATCTTTCCATTTGCTTTTTGGCCACTTGGAGAAATATCTACTCAGATCTGTTGCATATATTTTATTGCATTAAATTATGCATAACATAAAATTTACCCTTTCAACTATATTTAAGTATACAACTTAGTGGCACTAAGCATATTAAGCAATTAATTGTTAATATGGAGTTGATGGCAAGACAATCAGTTGAGTCACATGAACCTCTGTTTGCACCGAGGCTTTTATCAATACATATATGGCTGGGTAGATCAAGACAAATGGAACCACTCTCAGCTTCAGTTTTTTAATCAGAAAATATGATGCAATTAGGCCATTGAGAGAATTAAATAATGTGAATATAAAAGCAAAGAGCAGTTAGCACATTTACCTAGTACTCTTAGGTAATATAACACGATTTCCACTGTATTATTTTTCTTTAAAAAATAAATTTTAGTTATTTAGGAAATTAAAGCAATGAGATTGAAAAGTTACTAAACTTTAGAAGATTTTTATCATTAGTAAGATATCTGAAATTATATTCTTTTTCACTCCAAATATTCTTGCTGTATTTTGAAATCTGAGTTATCCCTAATTGTGTTATCTGTATACCTGTTAAGCCTTAGTAATAAACTAAGCATCTTGAGGCTTAGTTTTGCTTAAAAAATAGCTTATAAAATTATGAAATTAAATATTTGCAGAGGTTTAAAAAATCCATCTTACATAAGTGTAAGTTTAATTTTAATAACTAAATTTTTAAAATTGCATGGGATTATTTATATAGTTTTTTATTTGATTTAAATAATTATGAGATAATTATAGGTATTAAAAATACTTATTCCAGCCCTTTGCCTAAGGACAATCACTTTATACCAAAACGCATTCTCCATCAGAATTGATCCCTACTATTCTAATATTTATTTTATTACATAGTGCTGTGACACATAAAATATATGGATATTATTAACTTTCATATGATAAACTACCTATTGAATTTTGTATCCCCTAGTACTAAATCCTTATATCCTGCTACCCTTGGAAATATATAGTAGATTAAATAGACTCATATTAAAATGAATTGAGTAAAAAGAATTTTTAAACCTTAAAAATGTTTAAAGCTCTAGAAGGCATATGACATCTAAAATATAATCTTATATTTTGGGTTAAGAAAATTTAAAAAAGGACCTTTTGAAAATTAAGTCCTTGTGCCCAGGAACAATTTTTGGGGTTTGGAACATCATCCCAAAACAGCTTCTTCATTCTACAAAAGAAAAGTAAGGCATTAGAATCACAGAAAAACATTTATATCAAAACTGTTAACAGTTAATGAATGTATAAACTAGTAATTAATCCTCCAGAGCTATGCCTCAGGAGGGGCAGATTCATTTTCATATGTTATCACACAAAGCTTTCCACCAATGATCTGCCTAAGCCAAAGTTAATAATCATATACATATATATATATATATTCCCAAGCAACCTTTACTCCCAAATGACTGGAACAACCAGAACCATTGGTAGACCAGATGCTATGACTGCATTGACAAGCAGGAAGCAGATGCTCAATGCAGGAGCTGCCCCCTGGTGGTCAGTGCGATCCCACAGCCAACCAACCTCCCACAGGCACCTCCTCACCCCCTGGCCGGCCAACCTTCTCCCTCCGCCAGCCGCCAACCTCCCATAGCCCCTCACCTCAGCCAGCTAGCCCCCCTATAGGACTCGATCACCAACCAGGCCAAGGGATCCCCCACCTGTGCACGAATTCCTGCACCAGGCCTCTAGTTACAATAATAAAAATAGCAAAACACTTATTGAAAACTGTGTGCCAGGCACTTTGCATAGGTTTTCTCAGAGAAAATAAAATATTAAAAATGGCCATCAAGTGAGTTTCAGAAACAATTCTACTGGATATGGCACCATCAGCTCACTTGACTGAAAGATAAATTCTGATTCTAAAATGGACTCTCTTTTGTGCTAGAAGACAAAAGTTTCTACAAAGATTCATTCTGTAACTCATTGATCCAAACCTCTCAGCACAAACCCACAAGAAATTCAAGGCCATTTGCCAAACCAGGCTGACCAGAGCCAGCAGTGCTGATTTTTAAAAAGCAGAGTGCTTACTGGTCATAAGTGGACTGCTCCAGGTAAATTTTCACCACTCAAAGTCCTCAACCCAAATTGCACAACTCTGAAAGCCACTTTGCCACCTCCAAGAACATACAGCCTAGGCTTTCCTATAATAGGCTTGTTATTTCCTGCATGCATTTCAAAAAAGAAATCATTTTTTTTCCATGAAGTTTATATTGTGCTAACAAAACAGAATTTAGCTATCTGAAAACAGGCTTTTTCTTTTTATACCATCTTAAGAATATTTAGGATATATTACTTATGACTTGTATTTTAAAATCAAGGTTTAAATATGATGAAGGTCCATACCTTTGATGTAATATTAGCAATGCTCCAAGCAACAAGGTTAATGAAGAAATAATTATTGGCACAATTACATATAGACCTGCATCAGTCTGGTGTTTTTCAATATCATCTGGAAAAGAAATGCAATTCACGCAATTCAGAAGTTTGAGGAAAAAATACCGTTCTGTACCAAAAATTATAGTAGACTTTTTCCTAATTTCATCCTAAATCTGTATGACCTCTTAAATATAAAAATAAAAAAGAGGAAGATAAAATGATAGTTATGATCCCATTAATAATTATTATTGTGTTCAAAATTATGCTTATTATAATTTGGTGAAATATTGTTTTAAAAATTTTTTGTGAATTCTCTCCCTCTGCTCCCTTTTAAAAAGCAGAGTGCTTACTGGTTATAAGTGGACTGCTCCAGGTAATTTTTCAGGTTGTATGAGTTAAAGGGCCCGTTTAAGTTGTTATAATGACTCTGTCTGATCATCTGCTTCTAAAGAAGTCAACCTACAACACCTGCCAATCTCTAGCTTGTTCAGTCCAGACACAATGACCTCCTTGCTGTTTCTTGATTCACCAAGCATGCTCACTCATCAGTAAAAAGCACTCCTCTGTACTTACTAGCACTTGCTGAAATGTTCTTCCCCTTTATGTTTGCAAAGCTCTACTCAAAAATCATTAACAGAACAAAAAAGACAAATGTTGGCCATTCTAACTACACCACCACATTTTAAGTCTATCCCTTCATCTTACTTCATGGCACTTTAATCTGACATTATATTATACATGATTTGCTTATTGTCTCTCACTCTCATTGGAGTCCTGGAGGTTAGAGAATGATGTTCACAGTTCAACTCCCAGTGCTTAGAAGAATGCTCATTTGTTCAATAATTCATTAATGAATTTTTTCAATTATTTTCATTCTAAATCCAGGCAAAATGTTTCTCTCTTGAAACTTCATTATTGGTGTGCTTGGATGTGAAGACAATTTAAAAAGTAATAGTAAAATATAAATATGCCAAGTATGGTAAGATGAATCAGAAATATGAGAGGCCTAGTCCATGACAACCTCTCCTGTTTTATTTTCAGAGGAAAAAATATTTCCTTTAGAAGACTGATTAAAATTTAAAGACTCACAAATATATGCTACCAAACATATTCTTTGGGGAAGGTGCATTTATATACATTATATAGAAATGTTCATAAAAATAATATATTTCTAACTTTATGAAGATATATTTTATCATATAGCTGTGTATTTCCCTTTATTTTGTTTGCATCAACTTTTTGTTCAATTTGAGAATAAAATTTTTACTTACCAATACAAGAATTCAATAATGTGCCTGATTATTCTCTTTCTTATTATCACCTTGGAACCATACACCCTGAGTGCATGCACCCTGGGACACATAAATAGTGCTGGACCCTTGCACTATTTTATCAGAAGAATAACCATATGACAACATTACTGCTATGTAGGAAACCATTCATCTCTATAAAAAGAAAGTGAAAGTTTTACCTTGGGTAAAACCATTAATTATCTTCGGTTTCCCCACTCCTTCCATAAATATTGGGTAAAGACTGAATTGATACTTCTCAATTGGGATAAAATGATCTGAGGAGAAAAACATATTAAAGGGTCATTCTTCCTGAATTCATATAAATGAGTGAACTCTATATAAAAAGTTTTTAAGTGACCCTCCTATATTTCCAAACATAAAAATTAGTTGTTATTATGGTTTGAAACTGATAATTAAAGGACTTTCAAAACAACCTAGGCACTCCAAATTCCCTTAATAATAATTTTATAAATAACATTTTTTTAAATCTTACCCATAGACAGGAGATAGCAATTTTTCAAAGACATATCCCAGTAATAGCCACTTTGTTCAAGTTTGGGGTATATAAGTGTTTTATTTCCCTGTGTAAGACAGTATGCTTTACCTCTTCTCCTGTATCTCCAAGATAAGCAATATTCCCTTTACATAGGAGCTTACTACTTAGTCTTCCTACCCAAGGCAGCTAAAAGACTCAAATCTTGTGAAAAGATGGAGGTAGGAACCAGGAATTTCCTTGTAATATCCAAGAGTCTAGATTCCTGAAGGATGGCCATCTCTATAGCAAAGCTCCAAATGAATCATTAAGTACTATTAATATACAAAAATGATTTCACAAGAGATAAATCTGTTTGAAACCTGAAGTCCGCATGGTATAATGAAAAGCACAGAGAGTAACTGCCTGGATAACAGTGGTAATGAAATTAATTGAGTTCTCTATCAAGAATTTGTTTCTATTTAGCCTAAGGCTAAATTCAAGATCTCTGACATAAACGTATGAGTCTTTGGGATGATATTACATACATAACTAGAGGCCCAGTACACGAATTTGTGCACTCGGTGGGGAGGGGTGGGTCCCTCAGCCTGGATTGCAAGAGGAAGCAGGTCAGGCTGAGGGACCCCACTAGTGCATGATCGGGGCCAGGGAGGTTACAGAGGAGGTTGGCCAGTCTGGGAGGGACCACAGGAGGTCTCCAAGGCATGTGCAGCCCATCTGGCTCAGTCCCAATTGGCTGGACCCCAGCAAGGTAACCTACTGGTCAGAGCGTGTTCCCTGGTGGTCAGAACACCTCATAGCAAGCGTGTGAATGGCCTTAGCATATCATTAGCATATTATGCTTTGATTGATTGGACAACCAGACACTTAACATATTAGGCTTTTATTATATAGGATAACATCATGGCAATCCTTAGTTTCTCTATACTTAAACCTAACTCTGAGTTGGAGATGCTGTATTGTGCACTTAAACTTTGTAATCACCTCCTTGGGGCAACTGGTCTACTTTTGGGAGTTTGTGCTGGTTATGTCCCCAGGTCCTAGATCCTCAGACCTTCAACATGGCACTTCCACTCATTGTGAGTGGAGTTATAAGTTGGTACACAATTCGAGAGAACAACCTGGCAGCAGATATCAAAAACCATTACAAATTGGTTTTTACTGAAAGCAGTAAAAATAATTCTCAAATAAATAAACAGTTTAAGTAGATTTTGGCATAAAATGCAATATGGTCATTAAAAATAATAGGTAAAGGGATAGGGGAGAAATTAGAAGCATGCTTGTGATATATCAAAGGAACAAATCAGAAGGAAAGTGTTAGATGACAAGGTATGATGACCACTATGTAAAATGTTTAAATGAAAAAGGATCAAATGTGCCGAAACCGGTTTAGCTCAGTGGATAGAGAGCCGGCCTGGTCGGTCTGTGGACTGAAGGGTCCCAGGTTCGATTCTGGTCAAGGGCATGTACCTTGGCTGCGGGCACATCCCTGGTAGGGGGTGTGCAAGAGGCAGCTGGTCGATGTTTCTCTCTCATCGACGTTTCTAGCTCTCTATCCCTCTTCCTTCCTCTCTGTAAAAAAATCAATAAAATATATTTTTTTTTTTAAAAAGAAAGAAAGAAAAAGGATCAAATGAAAGAGTTAAATGTTTATGGTAAGGTGATAAAATTACAAGTATTCAGATGGTAGTGTCATCTATATTTTTGAAGTTTGATTTAATTAACTGCCTTTATTAATTGAATTAATAATCTATAATATCATACTAATCCATAAGAGAAACTTATTAAAGTACAGTAAACTTACCATGGATATAATACCTCGTAACAGACGAAGGGATTCTACGCCATTTAATTTCATTGTTTTCATTAAGAATTTTCCACTCAAGAATAAAATATATTAGATTATAATCACTAAGCGATAGCATCCAGGAAAGAATCACACAACTACTATTTAAAGGATAAGCATTGAGTGACTGCACGATGTTTACTGAGGAGAAAAGAAAAAATATTTGTTTTTAAAATCAAAATTAATGAAAATTTCCTAATACATTTGAAGATCATATAAGCTCCTGGAAAGAGAGAGAAGGAATGGAAGGCAGACATTTTCAAGTCTAAGCAATTACTTGTATCCATATAATATGTCATACTATTACATATATTTATAATCCATAATAACACATGTATATCTATATAATATTATATTACATGTATACATGTAATTGTGCATATATATATATATATATAGAGAGAGAGAGAGAGAGAGAAAGAGAGAGAAAGAGAGAGAGAGAGAGAGAGATTTACCTATGACCACCATTGGTCCAAAAGCATTATTAGAATATTCTCACATTATAATATCATTTCAACCATGTTCTACCACATGAAAACCCAGGACCATATACATAATCAGAGTATCATCTAGTTTGCTGTTTTTCAGACAAAGACAAGATTAAGGTAAAACAAAGACTTCCAGATTTAGGGAATCACAGGCTTCTTGGAAGAATAGAAGGAGTTTACAAAGATTAAATATTTAAAAGGGCACAGGTTTACTACCTTGTACTTTTTCAATTACCTTTGCTCATGGGCCATGAGAGCGTTAAATTAAAATTTGCAAAAGAGGCGCCAATCGAATTGATGGCCAGAACTGTCACAGAATGTGTTTGCTCTGTCCATTGGAAAGTGAATTTGGTGTGATTGCCCACATCTTCTGACCATGTTCCATTGCCGGCAGTGTAATGCTTTACTACATATCTTCTCACATGGCACAATGAATCATTTTTCATCAGGGGCTGGAATAAACATAAAACTGGATTAGTTTAAGGGCTATAGTGCTCTTATACCAACTGTGCTCATGGGACTCTTATTAAGCATTTCCATAGGGAGGCAGGGGTCAGACCAGAGGCAGCACTGCCTATGTCCAGGCTGAGGCATGGGGAGGTGAGGGTGGGGAGGGTCTGCCTTTGACCACAAGCTAGATGAAGGTGTCAGGTGGTACGGAGCACAGCAAAGTTATTTTTCCCCTTCTGTTTTTGTTTGTTTGTTTGTTTGTTTTTTAAGATTCAGAAAATATATCATTGGAAGATAATGAATATGAATACAAAGTTTTTCTACCAAAAAGTTTCACTCTCATTTTAAAGAAAAGAAAGACTGGCAGAAAAAGCTAAAAAATGTTAATCATCATATATTAATCGCAGTAAAATTGTCGCTCATTTTCCCTCCCCTTGACATTCTTCCACTTCAAGTAACAGAACAGTGTGCATGGCACCACAGAATTTCAGTCCAAGGCTGAAAAGAAATCATTCCAGGTCACTGGCAATTCCAGTGTAAAATACAGATTTAGTCCAATTCTAGTCCTCCTCTCCACAGAATACACCACTCCTCCACCATTTTCACCTGTTTCAGGTAAGAATAGTGCTGCCAATCCTTTGTAAACCTACAGAAAGCTTGACTCTACAACAGACTAGACCACTCCTTTTTTTTTTTTTTTTTTGTCACTGAGGTTCCTATACGTCAGATATCAGAAAAAAATAAACATAAGCACATATACATCTACATCTACCCCTATAGGGCCTGAAATAATCTGAGGAGTGAGATTTTGCTGCAACCATTACAAGATTGAAATGTCTGAAAAGTCATGCAAATTTCACATTTCATTTTTTAAAATCCATGTCAGTTTTCATGTACAAATATTTACTTTTGTAAACATCAATTAAAAATGACTGTAAACTTCCTTACTTTTTGGTACTATTATACAAAGCTGCTCTAGACTCATCTTGTGGACTTCCTGCCCCAGTCCCAAGCCATTTTTCAAGGAACTTTATTTCTTTCAGTGGAGAATGGTATTAGAAACAAATCTGAGTATGCTCCTTGTCACTGGAATGCTGTTACCTCGAGGCCCTCGCAGCTTGCAATTCATGATAATATATGTGTGCATACTAATATTCATATCTATAAATACTTCTCAATGAATCCATCTGTAGCCATATTGAGCTAAATAGAAACTCATACTGATGTCTTCAACTCTAACCCCTCACCACATGGATCATTCCGGTCTTTTGCCCCTGGATTTTCTATAACCTGAGTCCCACCATCCACATCCATTTCCTTGATCATTCAATTCCAGTTTACATGTATAGTAGTACAAGAATTGTTAACCCATAATAATTAACATTATCAAATAGAATCCAGTGCATAGTGCTACTTCTTTTGCCTTAGTTTTTTTTTAAATATATTTAATTGATTTTTTTACAGAGAGGAAGGGAGAGAGATAGAGAGCTAGAAACGTCGATGAGAGAGAAACATCGACCAGTTGCCTCTTGCACACCCCCTACAGGGGATGTGCCCGCAACCAAGGTACATGCCCTTGACGGGAATCGAACCCGGGACCTTTCAGTCCGCAGACCGATGCTCTACCACTGAGCCAAACTGGTTTCGGCTTTTGCCTTAGTTTTAAGAATCCATCTACTTACAAAGTTTTTTTAGGCCTGCAATTTTTTCTCCCACCTCCTTCAGTGAGGTTTTGCATACACTTGTAATACAGTTAGATTCTTTTGTCCCAGTCTGGATTCCATCCTGGCATCCTCCAACCTTCTAAACGATTTATTTTTAATTTGCATACATTAAGGTATGCTCTCTCTGGGTTTTGACTAATGCATATGTATTCATTATACTATGTACCCACCATGACAATCTACAGAATAGTTTAACCACCATAAACAATCCCTTGTGCTTTACCTATTCAAATTTTTCTTCATCAGCCAAACCCCTAGAAACCACCAATCTTTCTATCTTCTCTACAGTTATGCCTTTTCCATGTATGTGGAATCATTATGTAGCCCTTTCAGATGGGCTTCTACCACTTAGCTACATGCATTTAAGATTCATCCACATCTTTTGGTGGCTTTATAGCAATTTCTTTTTATCATTAGATGGAAGTACCATAGTTTATCTATCCATCTATGGAAGAATATCTTGGTTGCTTCCAGTTTGAGGTGATTATGAATAAAGCTACTATGAACATGTATGTGCAAATATTTATGTGAAGACAAGTTTTCAAATCAGCTGGGTAAATAGCTAATGGTATAATGCTGGATTGTATGGTAACACTATGTTTAACTTTGTAAGAAACTACCAAACTATCTTCCAATTTGCAATCCCACCGGCAAAGAATAAAACTGCCTGTTGCCTTGCACCCTTGCCAGCAATTTATTGTTCATTTTTTTTAACCATTCTAGGAAGTATGTAGTGGTATCTCTACACACTTGTTGGAATTTGTAATTCCCTAATGACAGGTAATGTTTGCTCTGGACTGAATGATTGTGTTTCCCCAAAATTGTGACAAAAAAAATAATTCATTCACTTCAGATACAAAATTCATATGGTGGAGAGAATGTTTTGAAAATTGTTAGGCTGAATATTCACTGCTTATGGAAATATCCACTGTTTGTATGTCATCATGCAAATAGAGTATCTCTTGTTTTAGATGTCCTTGAGGCATATGGAGAAGGCATCTACTTTGTTTAGGATTAAATATAAAGAGAATTCTTGGACTTGAAGGGACATTAGATATCATCTGGTGCAATCCTACCTTTTTGAAGATGAGGCTAACGCGTTCAGGTGACTTTGCCAAAGTAGTACTAACATAACTATAATAGCTTAAGCTGAGAATAGAACTAAAGTCTTCTATCTCTGTGCTGATACACCCTCCACTAGGGATCTTAGCTATCTGTGATCATCTCTCAAAATGGAAATGAAATATGGGATTGAAGGGCCTAAAATTATGAACAATGAAGAATAACATAAAAAAGCAGAAATACTTTCCAAAGTAAAGTGACATTTCTCTCCTTTTTTGTGCTGTCTTCATGAATTATTCTCCAAAATTCAGGTCCTCTGGTAGGAACTGCAAAACAACAAGTTGTACGCGTGTTCTCAGAAGTAATACTTTTCAATCGTAGTATTTGAAACACACACTTGTGCATTTTTAAGACATGTTTACAAAATCTCTACAGACCTTTTACATCCATGACCACTGTGTAGGCTGGAGTACTCCAGTTACTCCAATATCCCAGTCCATCCAGCCTCTTACAGCGCACCTGAGCAGCATAGACCGCACACAGGTCTGGCACCGGGAGACTGACAGATTTTGATTTTGCATCATATACCTCATACATCTGAAACATAAGTCAACGCATTAGATTGACCATGACTGGTCACATAGATGGCTATAGGGCCCTGAAGTACATTTTACTCCAAATCAAAGAGTGAACTGACTTCATGACTTCTGGCTTTAAAAATACTCATATCAGGCTTGGATCATGAACTCCTTCAGGTTAAGAACTATCTTAGTCCCCTTCTTGTGACTAGATTGGGATTGGTTCACTGACAGCCTTGCTTCCCAATCGTTCTCTATTATTACATGTCTCTGTCCACTAAGCGTCTAACCATAAAAACTATTGAGAATTTTAATTGAGTAGTTAATAGGGCCTGCTGTAGAGGACCTCTGATATTCAGTCTCCTCAATAAGCAGGTAAAGGATCACACTCATTTCAATTACAATCATCATGACCTAATTATGTTTGTAAGTCTTTGCAGGCTGCCATCAGAAAACTGACACCACAAGTCATCATATGCACACTTGCAACTCGGAGTATGATTCTGGTTTATTTGGTAAAAGTAGCTTCTAAAATATATTCATTCAATATGTGTACTAAAGAATATTATTAGATGTTGGAGGAAAAGAGGTTTATTGGTAAAATAAGTTTGAGAAACATAGGGTGAAGTAAATTCACAAATAAATGTTTCTTTAATGCAGGACCTTTCCTAACCTTTAATATGTAATAAACTATAATTTTACACTAGAAATATACAGTGATGCAGGGTTTCCTAAACTTATTTAACCATGCAAGCTTTTTTTAAGAAACATTTTACGGGACCAATGATAAAAGCTCGCTTTTGGAAATGATAGATTGTGGGAAATTTTATTTCTTTAAAGGGTTAAACTTAGAGCACTGTAACAAAAATAGCTTCAGAATACAGAGGATATACTAAATAAATTTTATGACAACAAAATAAGTTTTATGAAATAAAGTTATTATAACAGTCAGAAATAACATTTAGTGAAGCAAGCTAAAGAAATTTCTAGATAAAAGTTACCTTCCACTGTATTTCTTTTCCATTTAAGCCATAACGAATCTGGAACTGAAGATTATTCTCTGGAAAAATTGGCTTTTTCCAAGATATTTTCAGCAATCCAACTTTAGCAGTAATTTCTGCTTTCACACTTAATGGAGGCAATGGTTTTACTAGAAATTAAAAAACAAACAACAACAAAAAACACAGTATATATAATAGTAATGATGTTTAAAAAACCATTCTTATGATGTTATAATCTCCATACCTTATATTTATAAAGCAGTATCTCTTTTTCAAAAATGTCACATCCCTTATCTCATTTGCTCCCCTACAATTTTATGTAATAAATACAAAAGGGATAATTTTGCAAATAGATTGGTTCTTTAAAAATCAATACATTGTCCATGTCTCTCTGTTTATAGTAAGACCTGATTAGAAATTGAGCCCTTAGCTCTGCATCCAGAAGATACCATATTGAACACAGGATAAATATCAAGAGCAAATTCTGTTTCTTTAATTAAAGGCAAAAAATATGCACTGCATCTATTTCCACATCTGTGAATTTCAAACTCTTCTCCTACTACCTATTAGAAAGCATTTCTGGGTAAAGGTCAGAGGTAGTCTTACAGAGTGAAGAGTTGGCTCTCTGAAATCTATGAAAAACAGGCTTTTTTTGCTGTATTTTTTAAAATTAATTAAATTTTTTACAATATACAAAATAAATCAGTGTCTATGCGGTCTCCACTTTCATTTCTCGGGTGTCAGGGTTCTTTCCTGCAAACTTTCTGCTGATTATTCAGGAAGTTTTTCTGTATTTTAGTTGTAATTCCAGTTTGTTCCTGGGAGCATGACCAAACAGCATCCACTTACTCTGCTGCCATTTTAGTTGTTTTTATTTTTAATTTTATTTTATTGTTTAAGGTATTACAAATAGTAGTATATATGTCTCCTTCCTCTGCCCCCATTGACCTTCCAGGGGACAAAAATGGAGGCAAAGGTGACTAGAATGGCAAGAACATGTTTTTAAATAGAAAAAGACAATGCACCAACTCAACATATTTGGAAACTAAAAGTCCCAATGCCCAAGCACAACAATGTGACTTTATGTGGAAAAAAAATCTAAACATTATGAATTTATCTTCTATTTAACAAATGCAGGTTTTAATTCTGATGTGTACTAATTATTTGAAAGTATAATTACTTGAATAAATCAAATGGTGAATTTTGGCATTTTTCCCACCCAAATAGTACAAAGCTCTGGAATGTATTCTTTTATCTCTGTTGCACAATCATAAATGGATCATTTCTCAAAGATTCCACAGTAATAATATTAGAGGGATATAGCAAATTTTCCCAGGATTCTCTTAATCATTTGAAATCAAAATGTCCTTTGAAAAGAGTATTTAAAATTTCATCTTAAATGTCATCATTCCTTGTGTATTTTCTCTTCTTCACTTGACTTTAGCTATTTTGAATGCTGCTCCCTACACAGCATCATAAATTAAAGCCTTGAGTTATTATTATTCAGATTACAAAACCATCAGAATACCTAAATTAAACATTGAGATTTAAAAACTCCCAATGTTTCCATAAGTACATTGGGAGAAAAGTACAAAGTAGTGAATTATTTATAACTGGAGGCCTGATGCACAAAAAATTCGTGCAAGAATGGGCCTTCCTTCCCCTGGCTGCCAGCACAGCCTTCACTGGGACTGGAGCTGCCTTTTTGCTCTGGCTCAGAGCCACCTTTCTGCCTTCCCATGCTTCGTAGAGGCCTGGAGCGGCTAGGGTGGTATGGAATGCCTGTGTTGTTGCCATGGCAACAACACAAGCATCCCACTCCTCTCCTGGCCACTCGACTCATGGAATGCAAATCAACCCACCATCATTATTGGGTTAATTTGCATAATCACTCCTGATTGGCTGGTAGGCATCGTGAAGGTACAACGATGCCTACCAGCCAATTGCATCTTACTCTTTTATTAATATAGACACTATAGTGCACTTGGAGGGGGAGGGGTCCCTCAGCCTGACCTGTGCCCTCTCACAGTCTGAGAGTCCACAGAAGTGTCTGATGGCCTAAGCCATCAGTCAGACATCCTTAGCGTTGCTGCGGAGGTTTAAGAGGCTCCTGCCACTGCCACTGTGCTCGCCAGCCGTGAGCCCAGCTTCTGGCTGAGTGGTGATCCCCTGTGGGAGCACACTGATCACCAGAGGGCAGCTTCTGCACTGAGGGTCTGCCTCCTGGTGGTCAGTGTGCATCACAGCAACCCATTGTTCTGCTGTTCAGTTGATTTGCACATTAGCCTTTTATTATATAGGATTATTAAATTTCACTCATCAAATAGTATGCTGAAAGTATTCCTATTGCTAAAGAAATTGTGCTACAAAAGATTTAAAATATAATAAAACTTTCAAATGCTGATTGTCTTATCAATTTTACTGTAAGCAGAAAAAATACTTAAATCTAATATGATCAGAAAATAGTAAAATACAACAACTGCCCTGAATCAACCTAAATCCAAACCTGCTAATAAAAATGAAGACACACAACAATTTAACTTACCCATGGAATCAGGAACAACACACGTTGGAGGAGAATCCAGTATACCCAGAGAGTGATTGATTCTTATCCACATTGTGTAGCCGGATAATAGAAAGATTGGCTGAAATATGCATTCATAAAAACCATCTCTCTGCAAATGGCAATCTTTGGGTTCAGATGTGGAATGAATAGATGGAGCATCAGAACAATAAAGGCTGCTCCTTGAAAGATATGAAAACAGTCCATTAATATATAACATTGATGAAAGCATTAAGATTTGAGAATTCTGCTTTGCTGTTTCAAAGGTACCGTTTTTGCTCCACCTGAAAATAGTTGTCCTTATTAAAATAGTTATTTTAGAATTCTCAGCTAAATCACAATCTTGTCTTTCCATAAATACAGACAGTAACCCTTATTAAATATTTCATTAGACACTAAGTGGGAATGCAAATAAATTAAATGGCATTGCTTTAACAAGGAGATAATGACCCAGTTAGAGAGAGAACATATTAACACTTTGAGAGCTAAGCAAATATTATATCTATGTGATACTATTTTAAAACTACATGCCAAAAGCAGCAGTGGGCATCCCTGAGATGGGAAGGAAAATAATTTCCTTACACTTTCAATACAGATTAAATTCTACAACAAAACAAAAACAGTCAATAGTAATTACAGCATAATTACAGTGTCTGATTATTTTCTAGTTCAAAGCAGTATAATTTTGAAGATATTAGTTCTTGATTTGTATATGAATCATACAGTCAAGAATATAATTCATCTTTACAGATAAGAAAATCATTTTTTATATAACTTAGCCCCTATCAACACCCTGCCTCAAAGCATCTCCTCTCCTTTGAAAAAGCCCTTCTGCCATTATTTGCTCTTAATATGGCATTAAAATGGCTAAAGTATAATAGCAGTTACTGCTTTCTAATGAAGTGTATTCTACTATCCTCTTTTAAGAAGAATATCTATAAGAATACTGTGATGGCGGTAAAAATTTCTACAGGAAATTTTTATCTCAACATATCCACACAAAAATAAAAACAGCAAAAAGAACACATACCTATGATACATCAATTGCAAAGTACTCCCCGCGAGTGATTGGATTGCATTAGTTGACCATCTGCAAGTCATTTTAGTTAAGTACCCATCAGTTTCACATATTATATTGATATTGACATCTATTTAAAACACATAAAAATATTAATATATAGCAAAAACACCAAAAAATGCTTAATGAAAATAAACGAGACTCTAATACAGGTCCATAAGATAAATTTATCTTGTGGAACAAAAGGAAGAAGACCTCAGTGTGCTTACCAACCACATACAGTTCAGCATAGCGATGGTGGCACTCATTCTCGTTGCAGCAGTACACGGCATCGTAGGTGAACTTTCCTCGCAGTCTGGTTGCATTCAAACTGGGAAGAGTAACTTTGCTAACATGGTCCCCCATAATGTTATACTGGCTTTCAGGAATTTTCTCAGCTAAATTCATCCACCAAACAATCTTTTTTGAGGAAACAATCTTGTTTTCATTTTTGTAGATGCAGTTAAAAGAAACATTAGACCCAACACTTGTCAGAATTTTAGGTGGAAAGTATATGACATCTGTAATGAGGGAAGAAAGGTAGAAAAATCATATGAAGAAAGAAAATATTGTGTAAATAATTTACTATGTAAAAAAGATTCATGAAAGCATTCAGGGATGACACTGCCAAAAACAAAACAAGTATGCTAAGAGCCTGAATAACTATAACTGCCTATTTGTGTACAGCTATTTAGGATCCCAAGCACTCTCATTCTCAAATACTTGACCTTGCATAAATATCTTCAGTTTATTATAATACTGGAGGCCTAGTGCACAAAATTTGTGCACAGGTAGGATCCCTAGACCTGGCCAGTGATCAGGGCCAATCAGGTTCCCCGACTTCTTGCCTCCTCCTTCCCTCACTCCCTCAGCATCCCACTGCCACCACCACAGCTAGTCAGCGCACATCACAGCAAGCAATCAAACTCCCAGTCTCCTGGTTGAACTCCCAAGGAAACAATTTGCATATTAACCTTTTATTATATAGAATATGATTTCATGAGCAATGATCACTTGCTAAGCAATAGGTAGAAATTTAACAAAAGTGAAATGTGGTCTAATTCCACAATGACTTGTCTTCCATGAGACTTTGCTTTAAGAATCAGTGAAGTTTGCCAAAACCAGTTTGACTCAGTGGAGAGAGCATCAACCTGTGGACTGAAAGGTCCCATGTTTAATTCTGGTCAAGGACATGTACCTGGGTTGCGGGCACATCCCCAGTAGGGGGTATGCAGGAGGCAGCTGGTCGATATTTCTCTCTCATTGATGTTTCTAGCTCTCTATCCTTCTCCCTTCCTCTCTGTAAAAACTCAAATAAATAAATAAATAAATAAACAAACAAATAAATAAATAAATAAAATAAAAGAATCAGTAAGCTTAAGGTGAGTTCTTAAATTTCTTTTTTTTTTTAATATATTTTATTGATTTTGTACAGAGAGGAAGGGAGAGAGATAGAGAGTTAGAAACATCGATGAGAGAGAGTCATCAATCAGCTGCCTTTTGCACACCCCCTACTGGGGATATGCCCGCAACCAAGGTACATGCCCTTGACCAGAATCGAACCCGGGACCCTTCAGTCCCCAAGCCGACGCTCTATCCATTGAGCCAAACCGGTCTCGGCGAGTTCTTAAATTTCTATAACATGCCTCCCCCACCAAAAAAATAAAATTAAATTAAATTAAATTAAAAATTAAAAAATGGTGGACTATTGTCTCATTTAGATATATGAAAATTTCAAATTAACAGGAAAGGTACAGAAATAAGCTTTAAGTAAGAAAACTAGTTAGTAAATGTAAAATTAATGCACCAATATACAAAACAAGTTTGTATATAACTGCTCTGTAGCATCATTTTGAGTTATTTTATGCCAGTCTCCTGTGTTTGAAGACAAAGGGAACCAAAATTTTTCTAAAATATTATTTTTAATGCCTATACACTATTCCATACTACTTTTTCAATCCCCTGTGGTTGGAAACATAGTTTGTCCATATCTTTAATTAGAAATAGAATAAAAATTAACAACTGTTACCAAATGAAGAAATTATTTCTGCCAGAATGCATTATAAAATCAGTATATTTAAGGTAACTCATTTTCTGCTGATAAAATATGAATAGCTGTTTTCTTATATGACATTTTTTGGATTATCCCAACAAACAAAATTGAAAATACTTCATTGGTTTTTAAGTTTTCTGCAATAGCATGCTAAACTCCAATATCTTTACTAGTATATTTACAATCTACACCAGACATTGGCAGTTAGACATAAACAGAAAAAAACTTACTAGCATGAAAGTACTGAACATAAGCCAGTGCATTAGGCTTATAAACTAGTGTGGAGTGGCATTCAAGCCTCATAGTACATTACTTGCTGCACACAAGTAGCTAGCAGGATCTGAGAGACCATTAACCTACCTTCCATGTGCTCCACATCTTGTTACTGAGCTGCTTCAAAAGACTCTGAATAATCCATTTTTCAAAAGATTACAAATGAACTTTAAAAAATTAAGTTGAAGCTTTTTGTTGTAAAGGTAATAAAAACATAAAAAAATTCACTTCAAAATCGAATGCGAATAATTATGGCTTAACTGGGAAGTCAGATTAAAGTCAAAGTATTTTGGCATTTATTAAGTGCTAAAATACTAGCTTAAAATAAGAAAGACAATTTATTAAAAACCTAACAACTTGTAAAATTTCCACTAAACAAATGTATTGAAATTGATGAGATAAATATTGAATATTAACTTTTTAAATAATATAAATATGGCCCAAGCAGATATGGCTCAGTGGATAGAGTCAGCCGGCAGACTGAAGGTCCCAGGTCTGATTCTGGCCAAGGGCACATGCCCAGGTTGTGGGTTTGACCTCCAGTTGGTGTTATGTAGGAGGCAGCCAATCAATGATTCTCTCTCATCACTGATATTTCTCTTTCCCTGTCCCTTCCTCTCTGAAATCAATAAAAAGACATATTTTTAAATAATAATAATAATAATAAAAATATAAATATATATTTTATTCCCATATGAGATAGAATGCAATATTTAATTTTTAAAATAAGAAAACAAAAATGATTTTCTTCTCATGGCCAAGTAGCAATACCTTTTCAGAGTTTACATTAATGAATTTTATTAAAAGAGGAAATAGTATTGATAAATATTAATGAATTACTCAAAAGAATATATATATCAAAACACTTTATATAAAGTTATTTGAAAATATGCTTTTTAATAATGGAAAAATAGATTTTTTAAATTCTTGGAGCAAATATTATGGGGAAAATATTTTCTCTAACCGGTTTTAAGAGCTGCCACATGTGAAATATAGAAACCAGCTAATATCTACTTATCCTCTTCTTTGGCAGCAACAAGAATGCAGTCAAGCAGAAACCGGTTTGGCTCAGTGGATAGAGCATCGGTCTGCAGACTGAAAGGTCCCAGATTCGATTCCAGTCAAGGGCATGTACATTGGTTGTGGGCACATCCCCAGTAGGGAGTGTGCAGGAGGCAGCTGGTTAATGTTTCTTATCGACGTTTCTATCTCTCTATCCCTTTCCCTTCCTCTCTGTGGAAAATCAATAATATATATATATTTTTAAAATAATGCAGTTAATAAAGGTATTTAAGAATTCAGCACTTCTAATGTTTGTTTCCAGTATGTAGCATAACCTCAATGCAATATTATTAGACCAAAAGTCGTAGACTTTTTTCTAAAAGTCCAAGACCTCCCAGCAGCTATAATAAAAAAACTTAGTTAGCCAATTCATTTTACAAGAATCAATAATTCCTTGATTAGGAATAGTCAATGCTTCATTAACTGTGGTGCTTGGTAGATATAGCTTTAATATCAATTATATCAATGAATAAAAAGTGGTAACTATGAAGGTACTGATAATTAGCCTTCTGTTTGCTATAACAGCAATATATCAAGTAGCCTCTGTTCAAAAAATAAATAAATGAAATCCTAAGTATTTGGAAATGATAAAGCATTCTAAATAAATAAAACTATTCTAAGGCTCATGTGCCTCTATGTAAAACAAAGTTGTAATAAGCTACAGTTTATCTGATGCTAAAGATAACTTTAAAAATATAAAAACTCTCAAAATTAAGCATCTGAAGTGAAAAAATATTTTATTAATCTGTAATAGTCAAATATAATTTTTAATATTTGAAATGTACATCAAATAAATATAGCTGAGCCCAGCCATCCTGGCTCAGTGAGTGAGCATTAACCTTTGAACCAGGAGGGCACAGTTCAATTCCCAGTCAGGGCATATGCCCAGGTTGTGGGCTCAGTCCCCATGTGCAGGAGGCAGCCAATCAATAATTTTCTCTCATCATTGATGTTTCTATCTCTCTCAATCCCTATTCCTTCCTCTCTAAAACCAATAAATCAATATATATAGAAAAATATTTTTAATAAATATATCTGATTTTTCAAAATGTGAGTTAAGGAAGCCCTGACCAATGTGGCTCAGTTGGTTGGAGCATCATTCTGTACACCAAAAGATGGCAGGTTCAATTCCTAGTCAGGGCACATATCCAGATTTCAGGTTTGATTCCCAGTCAAGTCCCTTGCAGGAGGGCAACTGATCAATGTTTCTCTCTACATCAATGTTTCTCTTTCTCTTACTGAGTTTGTGAGTTTGAAACTTTTATATTAACTGTACATTTTTTTAAAAGAATGTAATTCAATAAGATACTGCTATCTTGTAATTCAACAAAATACCTTGGAGCTCTTATACAAGTTTTCATTAACAAATTAGCTTTTTCAAAATGTAAGTAGAAAACGTCTTTCTGGTTTAGTGCCACAAAAATTTAAGAGTCTTATAATATTCCAAACACAACTTCCAAAAACATATTCTCTTTTCAATAGAAGGTACTGTTACAAAAACCTACCTTGTGTGGTAAAAATAACAGGGGTGCTCCAGTCACTCCAGATGCCTGGGCCATCCAGCCTCTTGCTCCTCACCTGAACCTCATACGAAGACCCAGGAAGCACACCGTCTACTAGCAATGATGTGGCTGAGACGATCTCATCAGCCTGTTAAATATTATTTGAAAATACTAAAGTATCAAGTCACTGCGAGCCCTTTACCGAAACTGATCACAAGCAAGTCTCAACAAATTTCAAAGAACTGAAATCTTATAGAGGAGTTAGCTGGCCAAAATGAAATTAAACAGAAATCAATAACCAAATAACAAAGGTTGGTACACTAGTCAATAAAATTTTACATAACCCATGAGTCTGAGAATCACAATGACAATAAATAAATATTTTTAAATGGGTGATAATGAATATGACTTTTCAAATCTTGAGATATATAGCTAGTGTCAGTGGGAAGCGTCATGCCCCTGCAGACAACTGGAAAGCACACGGTGGAAATGATGCACAGGGTGAACAGAACTGTTTTGTTCCTAGAGGAAAATGTCACCGAAGGAGGGCATGAATAATTTTTAAGAACCTTAAATTGATGATAAACTACAGTGAATCAAAATACAGTTTGTAAAGTAGAAGGAAAATATTTAAGAGGCCTAATTGCATAAAACAACCACTAGCAAAAAATTGCTTAGTGAATAAATTTAGTTTTCTAGTGATATACTCTAAAACTATTGGACTTTCCTGTGTCTTAGACTTCAAGACACCATACAATGAAATTGGTGAAAAGCATTAGGAACCCATTAAACAATATCAGATCACCTCTAGTATTTAAAATCATGTTTTCTCAATTTTACAGTTCAGAGAGCTGAAGTCCAGAGAAATCTAAACTCTGATTTTCCATACACATCATAAATGGATTCCTATTCTGCTCTTTATGAAAATGAAGACTGAAAAAAAGTTAGCCCAGATCTAAGAAAACAGATATTTATCTCAAAATTACAGAACAACTAGTCTTACAAAGTGCCGAAGACCATGCATGGCCCATGAAGTTCTTTATTATCTTCTTGTTCTCCTCCCCTAACCCTCTGGGTTTTTATTGCATACTAGAGGCCCTGTGCACGAAATTCAGGCAAGGGGCTCACCCCTCACAGCCTTGGCTTCATCCAGAAGGTCATCCGGATGGTTGTCCAGAAAGTCATCCAGACAGCCATTCTGCTGTTTGGTCTAATTAGCATATTAGCTTTTTATTATAGGATTAGTTGATTGATTGGTTTTGATTGAGGTAATTGGTTAGTAACATTACATTGGTTTGGGGAAACTGAATAGTCCCATTCAACAGAATGAAACCAGACCACTATTCCCTTTGATTTTATTTGCTTTGATTTGCACTCTTACTCTTACTCTCATTCACTCCTCTGGCCTCCAGCCTCTCACCCAGGTTAGAACCTCTGAGTGGCTGTTTTCACTATTTGGAACTGGATTCCCCAAGATACCTACATTGCCATCTCCTTCAAATCTTAGCTCAAATGTCAGCCTCTCAATGAGATCTTCCCCCACCTCCATTTAGTACTATAACCCACCATCTCTCACCAGCACTCCCAAACTCCTCTCATTTTGGTCTACTACCCCAGTATATCCTGATACAAGCATGCCCATTCTTGCTTTCTAGCAGGAACTCCACAAAAACTTACAGAAAGACTGGGGGTGTGGGGGGGAAGGATGTGGTGCACTTTACAGTGCAAATGCATATACTGCACTGCATGTAAACAAATATACGAAGCCATTTTTTAAAGGATTAAATGTAACATCAGAAATCAAGACCGGTAGGTGAAAAAATTATAAATAAATTCAAAGATAAAGGGAGAGGAGAGAAGCCAATCTAATATAGTATGTAAACTTTTTTTTTTTTTTTTTAGAAGAGAAGCTTTCTCTATCACTAAATTCTGGAAGGAAATTGTCATGTTCCCCAATATATAACATAGATCCATATATAAGCAACATTGAGTAACGTCAAGTAATTTGTCTAAAAGCATTTTAGAGAATATGCAGAAATGCCGTTCATATGATAAGTTCCTATGCTGATATTAAATGAAAGCCAGTGGTGCAATGGTAAATTATAAAGGATTCTGCTCTACAGGAGCAGGCACATTTGGTATGCGGAGAGCACTTTCTATGGAACTTGGATGGGTCTCACCTTTTACTTTAGTTGCGTCTCAACTTTTCCTTTACTAAAATATACTTACTTCTCTCCTACTTGTAGAATTCTCTGAATATTTCACTTGATATTGAAGTTGAAATGGTACCAATGTTGAACTGGACCAAGAAATATTTAAACCACCACTGTCTGTGATTTCCATATGTAAACCTAATGGTGGATCGGGCTTCACTTAAGAAAAAACAAACAAAAACATGTTTTAGTCAAGCATTTCTTGTGATAATCATCAAATGAAGTCAAATTGAAATTTTAGCATATCTTGTTCTTTCAACTACTTAAAAGGTGATCTGGAGGACACATTATTTGAAAGTCTTAATGTTAAAATATAATGTCATATGTAGATTCAAAAAGTGATATATCCCCCCAATAACTTAGAAAGAAATACAGGAAAAATCGTGAGGAAAATTGTTTCAGATATCTAGAAAAGTGACTAGTGATGTCAAAAACAATGATGCAAAGATATGAGTAAAAAGTTTATATATAAACTACCTAAGGAAATATGAGCTGAGAAAATAGTAACACTATTAAATTATATATTATATAATTATATATTAATAATTACATGATAATTATCTATACATAAAAGAGTATATGTTAATTAGGCCAGATACACCAGACATCCTTCCGGACAAAGCCATGGTGATGGGAGCATAGGCAGAGGCATTTAGGGGTAATCAGGCTGGCAGGGGAGAGCAGTGAGGAGTGATCAGGCTGGCAGAGGAGAGCAGTTAGGGGCATCAGGCCAGCAGGCAGAGGCAGATTGGGTTAATCAAGAAAGCAGGCAGAGGGGCAATCAGGCAGGCAGGCATAGGTGGTTAGGGGTGATCAGGCAGTCAGGCAGAAAGGTTAGGAGTGATCAGGCAGGCAGACAGGTGAGCAGTTAGGAGCCACGGATCCCAGATTGTGAGAGAGATGTCCAAGAGGTCCCAGATTGGAGAGGGTGCAGGGTGGGCTAAGGGACGCCCCCCTCCCCATGCTCGATTTTCATGCACCAGGCCTCTAGTAATATATAATTTAACATACATACACAAAACTGAATGAAAAAGTTAAATATTTTAAGTTAACATTTACTTATATTAGTCACATTTGTAGTGACATATTCAAATTGGTCAAAAAATGCCAGAGGATCTTTGAACTAAAAATATGGAGCATTACCTGTTAATTGAGTTTTTCTTTTGCTCATATTTGTATAGAAAATTACTCCTTGATTACTTTTTGTTTATCTCTGCCCACTATTATTTGTCCCTACTCTGTGAGGCAAGAATTTTGTCTCATTCACCACTGTTTTCCCTGGCTCCCAAATCATGAGACTCTAAGAAATACTTATTGAAGGAATAAATCCAAGAAAAAAAATCTCCTAATTATTATCATAAATAGTTATCGGAGATGTAAGAATGTGATAACCAAATACTTTATATCTCATTAGACAAATCCAGGATTTAAAGAAATAAAACTGTTTTCAAGCAATAAGTTAGGTTATAATTGCAAAGATAGCAATACTACTATTACTACTGAATGACTGAAAGCTACAACCATTCCAGAAGCTGCTCACAATATTCCTTAGCACTACATTTACCATGATTACAGAGTTGGTCAAAGCGAGATAAGCCGTTGACAAATTTTGTAATCCGTGTTTAATCTGTTTGTATGACTGATGTTTAGATCTGTGATTTTCTTATGTACAACTTACCGATAGTGATGAGTTGAACTGACATTAAAGGAGACTGAAAAATCACTCTCCCAGATGTGATTTTTAAATACATAGAGAGAGTGCAGTTGAGTTTGGCTGCTGGCACAGAAACATGGCATTCACATTTGTGAGCACTGCAGTTGCACTGAACAAGCTGGAAATTGCCTTTCTGGGGGACCAGTGGTGATTCTTCTAACACTTCAGGCCTACATGAAAAAGAAGAGGCAAACATTGATATAGATGTAAAGGTACTGACTATATTTAAAATGTAGGATACAAAATCCAAATTGAAATAAGCTATTCTGGATACCCAGCATAAAGGGCATTGGCAAAGCAATACATTATGTCAGGGAAACAAAGATAAGGGTTAAAACAGGTTAGCTGTCAGAAAAATAGAAGTGGGAAGAAAAGAACAAAAAGTAAAGAAAAATTGCTATCCTAAAATCCTATACCCAACGGAAATATCTTTCCAAATAAATGTGAAATGACAACTTTTTTGCACGCATACCAAAACTGAAAATATTCACCACCATGAGACCTGCATTTATAAAACATGTTAAAGGAAGTCCTTCAGGCAAAAAGAAAATGAATAAAGCAAATGAAAGTCTAGTTCTACACAAAGAAATAAAATTTAATGGAGGGTAAATATTTACAGATGATCTAAAGCAAAAATAATTACCATGTAGTATGAGGTTTATACCATAAGTAGAAGTAATATGTATGACATTAACTCCAAGCTTAGGAAGGGGGAGATAAGTTATTATGCAGTGGAGTGGTGACTGATTAATTCATAAGCGTATATATATAACCCAAAGACACAGACAGTAGTGGGTGAAGGCTTGGGAGAAGTGGGATAGGAGAGTGCAATGAGAAGAATAAAGGACATAAGTAATACTTTCAACAATAAAGATTTATTTTTTTAAAAAAGAACAAATTAATAAACTGGACTTCTTTTTTCATTTTTTATTAAGGTATTATATGTGTACATGATAAACAAGACTTCTATAAAGATTGAAAACTTCTGTTCTTCAAGTGACACTATGAAAAGTAACAAAAGGACAAGCCATCGATTGAGAAAACACATTTGTCAATCACCTACCTGATAAAGCACTTGTACCCAGAAGATTTAAAGAATGCTCAAAAGTATAGATCAATGGACTAGAATAGAGAATCCGGATATCAACCCAAACCACTATGCTCAATTAATATTTGACAAAGGAGGCATGAACATACAATGGAGTCAAGACAGTCTCTTCAATAAATGGTGTTGGGAAAATTGGACAGATACATGCAAAAGAATGAAATAGATCATCAACTTACACCATACACAAAAATAAACTCAAAATGGATACAGGACTTAAACATCAGATGAGAAACCATAAAAATACTAGAGGAATCCACAGGCAGCAAAATCTGAGACATATGCCGAAAGAACTTCTTCACTGATACTGCCTCTAGGGCAATGGAAGCTAAAGAGAAAATAAACAAATGGGACTACATCAAAATAAAAAGCTTTTTTTACAGCAAAAGAAACCACCAACAAAGCAACAAGAAAGCCCACTGTATGGAAGAACATATTTGCAAATGCTATCACTGATAAAAGTTTAATCTCTAACATCTATAGACAGCTTATACAAATTAATAAAAGGAAGATAAATGATCCAATCAAAAAATGGGCTACGAACCTAAAAAGAAGACGAAGGAAGGCCAAGAGGCACATGAAAACATGCTCAAAGTCACTAATTATCCAAGAGATGCAAATCAAAACAACAATATGGTAACATCTCACACCTGTCAGAATAGCTATCATTAACAAATCAACAAATGACAAGTGTTGGAGAGGATGCTGAGAAAAAGGAATCCTCGTGCACTACTGGTGGGAATGCAGATTGGTGCAACCACTGTGGAGAACAGTATGGAGTTTCCTCCAAAAACTAAAAATGCAACTTCCATTTGACCCAGTAATACTACTCCTAGGAATATATCCTAAGAAACTAGAAACACCAATCAGAAAGGATATATGCATCCCTTTGTTCATTGCAGCACAATTCACAATAGCTAAGGTTTGGAAACAGTCTAGGTGCCTGTCAGCAGATGATTGGATCAGAAAACTATAGTACATCTACACAATGGAATACTATGCTGCCATAAAAAGGGAATTAGAGAACATTATGCTGAGTGAAATAAGCCAGTCAATGAAAGAAAAACACCACATGATCTCACTCATTTATGGATAATAAAGAAAATTATAAACTGATGAACAAAAAGATAGATACAGAGACAGTAAAGCAACAAACAGACTGTCAAATTACAGCAGGAAGGTTAGGGAGATATGGGGGAGATAAGAGGTCAACTGAAGAACTTGTATGCATATAAGCATAACCAAGGGACGCAAAACTCTGGGGGGATAAGGGCATGTACGGGAGTGGGGGGGGTGGCAATGGTAAGATATGTACACATATAACACCTTAATTTAAAAAATGGAAAAAAAGAATGCTCAAGAAATTAAGTTTCCTTAATCAGTAATTTCTAAAATTAACAACCCAATTAAAAAATAGGCAAAGATGTCAACTGTCCTTTCACCATAGAAGATATAAGAATGAAAATAAGGCCCTGAAAAGAAGCCCAACATCATTAGTCAAATTAAAAACCCAATAAGATGCCACTATCCACATATTAAAATGGCTAAAATAAAAAAATAAAAATAATCATACCAAGTGTTGAACAAGGACATGGAGGAATTAGAATTCAAATACAATGTTTTGACTATCACTGTAAATCTAAAAATGAATGGGTTAACCTTAAAATTTTAATTACAGCTCAGCTGGCGTGGCTCAGGGGTTAGTATCTGCCTATGAACCAGAAGGTCACAGTTCAGTTCTAAGTCAGAACACATGCCTGGGTTGTGGGTTCAAACCCCAATGTCGGGCATGCAGGAGATAGCCAATCAATAATTCTCTCACATCATTGATGTTTGTATTTCTCTTCCTCTCTCAATCAATAAAATATATTTTTATAAAATTAATTATAATTACTTGGGTAAGGTTACCTAACTCAAGGCATATAGACCAAGACACAGAGAGTTGTTATCTCCGGTTTATTAGTGGTTTTTATTTAATCTGAATGGTCCCCTAGTCTAAGCCTTGTTGAAGCGAGAAGATTTAGAGTGAGTGTTAGCGGGGGCGGGAGGGGTTACAATGCCCCACATCCTCCTATCTTGCTTGAGCTACTCCCATTCTGTCCATAAAGACCAGCTTCCTTCTATGAAAACCACTCTATGCTTAAAAAAAAAAAGAAAAAGAAAAATTAAAAAAAAACAAAAAAAAACTTGGGGCTAGAGAGAGAGTAGTATTATTTGGGCATGATCATTGCCTTCAGAAATGTTTTGGTCCTTTTGGATTAAAAAAAACTATAAGTGATAAATATACCAATTACAAATTCAGTGTGGAGGAAGTGTTTCTTTAGAAATTGTGCTAACTATGCCGAAACCGGTTTGGCTCAATGGTAGAGTGTCGGTCTGTGGACTGAAAGGTCCCGGGTTCGATTCCGGTCAAGGGCATGTACATTGGTTGCGGGCACATCCCCGGTAAGGGGGTGTGCAGGAGGCGGCTGGTCGATGTTTCTCTCTCATCGACGTTTCTAGCTCTCTATCTCTCTCCCTTCCTCTCTGTAAAAAATCAATAAAATGTTTTAAAAAAAAATAGAAATTGTGCTAACTAGCATATACATGTGCATTCAGATATAAACACATCATGGAAGCAATGTACCCTAGTCTTTCCATACACATCCCACTAGCATTAAATGTTTTAAATTATGATAAATTTTTACAATTTATCAGACTTTAGTATTAATTTAGTTTTAAAATACCAATCAGGAAACAGCATATACAGACCTTTTAATGTGTAAAGCAGTCTACTGGGCATGGAGTAAGAAGTAATATTGCTGCAAAAAACACACTAAATTCATACTGAGACTTAAACTCAAATTATTATTATGTTTGCTTATGAGCCTCAGGCATCTAATGGCATTTTAGGAGACTCAGTTTTCTTAATCCATAAAACAGAGAAAATGCCTGCGATATCTATCTCTACCAGGCTATAGTGAATATCAAAGACAATTACATAAAAGTATCTTTGAAAACTTGAAGTGCTGTAGACCCATAAAATACTGCTTTTAATCAGAGGTGGATTGACTTAGCACTTTCCATTTTATATAAATCTTTAAACAAAGCCAATAAAATGTAATTTTAAAAAATATTATGCCTTGCCTTTTATGTGTTTTTCACATATTAAGATAAAAGCTTTTCTCAAAGGATTATGGAACAAATTGAATAAATTGTGGTTTTATGTCAGAAGCGTTGACTGAAGAACTCCCAAATTTTAAGGCAAAAATAGAACTGAACTGATGATAATAAGACATATATTTTCCACTAATATTTTTTTATGTTTTTAAGGTTAAAAAAATTCTAGCGATATTTTTCTTTTTAAAATAAAAGATAAGTTAGAATTATAATCTCTTAGTCTTAGATGGTCTTGCCAATGCCATGCTTTTCTAAATACAGTGGATAATTGTAGAATAGGGCTGATAACCAATTAGATTAACTCATTGGTTTCTTTGACACATCACTGTTGTGTTCTATTTAATCAATCTTTGTTTTCTTTAAAATTTCAATATATACAAAGAAGATAAAAATATAAAGCAAAAATTCAGAATAACTATATATAATGACTATATATAACTATAGAATACATATCACAGTAATTCATAATTAGTTTTTTCTTAAAACCATTTCTATTCAGAAATTTCCAAAGCCACTCCAACAGAAAACCCTATCTCAAAATGCTAAGAATCAATCTAAAACTAATTTTCAAATATTCTAAGCAGGAGTCAGGAAGCTACAGCCCACAAGCCAAATATACCTCTTTTGTACAGCCTGTGAGCTAAGAACGGTTTCTTACATTTTCAAATGTTCTCTTAAAAGGAAGAAGGAAAGAGAGATGAGAGAGAGAGAGAGAGAGAGAGAGAGAGAGAGAGAGAGAGAGAGAGAGAGAGAGAGAGAAGGAAAAATGTTCCATGATATGTGGAAATTAAATGAAATTCAAATGTTAGTGTCCATAAAAAGAGGCATGTTCATTTGTTTTTGTATTAACTATGGCAACAAGGTTATGAGAGAGACACTATGGCCTGTAAAATCCAAAATATTGGC